CCCATTCAGTCCTCAACTGCTGTCGGGCCGCCTCCTACTCAAACCTTGCCGGCTACCACTACTCCACCCATTCGGTCTTCAACTGCCGTCGGACCGCCTCCTACGCAAACCTTGCCGGCCACCACTACTCCGCCCATTCAGTCTTCAACTGCTGTCCCACCGCCCCCTACTCAAACCTTGCCGGCCACAACTACGGTCCCGGCCACCCTACCGCCGGTTACAACCGCAGGAGAGTGTGTCTGTCCGTGTGAAGCGTGCACTTGCTGCCCGGAAGTGGTAATTCGGCTGCTGCGCAAGCCCAGCAAGTTACACCTCGATGTTGAGAATGGCCAAACTGTCTAAAGTGCCCAATCAACTGTAGAGACCTTCCATGCATGTACAGCTGTCCAGAATTATTTAGTTTGTCCAGATTTTTTTGTTGAACCAAGTAAGGTCGCTTGTAACGTCGACTGGCGACCGTACTTGCCATAAATGCCAGTTGTCAACGCCCGATGTCTTGTAGCCTTGCCTAGTCCACCACCATCCCGGACAACTGGCTGCGTTCGGGCTTACGTGCAGTTTCTTTTGTGCAGCTGGTCGAAAAAACGAACGACCCGTCGCACCCTCTAGTCCTTGTCACTCGGTCACCTCGGCTAAGCCGCGTTTTGTGGGCGCAGCTTGTGGATCGAGACTGCTACTATTTATCCTACCCGTAGGTCATCCGCGCCCGACTCCTCGAGCGGCGTATCTGTGAGCATGGCCTTTTGCAGTCTCTCACGCATTTGTGCCGCCAGGCTCTGTTTCCTCTGCTCCTCTGTCATTGTGCTGGTTACCTCTTGCAACCGCGCGAAGTACGGTGGTCTTCCGAATAAGGCCTCGTATGTACAGCGTCGCGTGGTCCATTGCAACTAGGAGCCACCAATTCTGCCCATCTAGCTGCATGGGTCCTACGTGATCCAGGCTTACAGTGCCCATCGCGCTCGGATTCTCCAGACTCCCCTTCGGCACGTTGTGCGTCAGCCGAGCTCTCGTTCGAGTCCGGGCACATATCAGGCATTCTCTTACTACTCTCGCAACGTCCTCTGCGAGCCCGGGCCAGTAGAACATGCTGGTTACTCTCTTCCGCGTCTTGAGCACTCCCGGGTGTTCACTGGTGCCATAGTGGAAGTTCAGTACCACCTTCGCTCTCAGTCGCTCCGGGACGTACACCTTGCCCGTGATGGCCTGCCGCCACCACTTGCCATCCTTCTTCACTCCAGGCAATCCTTGCGGCTCCAGCTGCCGGTACTCTCTCATGAAGTCCTCTTCCGACACCTGGTGTCTCCCCAGCAGTCGGCCCACGCGGCCTATCACTCTACTGCCCACGGCCATTGCACTCTTCATGTTCCGCTGCGTACCGCGACAACCAGTCCGCCATGCTGTTCTTCTCTCCCGACAGGAGCTCTAAGGTGAAGTCGAACCTGCTGAGCGCCAGCGCCCAGCGGTACACCTTCCCTTTGTCTACTCCCACAAGGTAGCGTAGGTTGGCGTGATCTGTGCGTACGGTGAAATGATGAAGCGCTACGTAGTCGCACCACTTCTCTACAGCCCACTTGACGGCGAAGGGCTCCCTCTCTCTCGTATCCCACTTTCTCTCCGCGTCTGTGAACTTCTTAGACGCGAACTCTAATGGGACCCCTCTGCCCTCTTGCACCTGCTCCAACACCGCGCCAATGCCAACCTCTGAGGCATCTGTTTCGATGATGAGCGGCGCTCCTGGAACTGGCTTGTGGAGCAACGACG